TCAAAAGATTAGTAGAGCAAAATCTTCTGAAAGTCGAAATGCACTAAATCTACTGAATTATCGAGATTAAATGCAATATTTTTAAAGAAGTATACACAGACTTTTCTCTACATTAATATACTTTTATTTGCAAGCTTAAAACTCCAACAATCAGAAAATAGTTAGAAAGAGATTGAGAATAATAGACAAATTTTTTCAGGTGAGATAGTGAAATGAAAAATATTTATGGTTGTAGATTACCTTCTGAAGATGATCACTAATGTTATGCTGCTATAAAAATTTTCATTAGTTACCTTATTTAGATTAGTTTGAATCAAACACTTTTAGGTTTAATTACTTCAAATAAAGCTAAGCCTAAAGTTATGCTATTAGGTTTCATACTGATACAACAGCGGAAGTCACGTGACACTAGTAACACGTCATGAGATTCTAGAAGGATCGGGGAACCTCACAAACATCCCAGCATTTGCAAGACGCCCTCTATTTTTAGTATATAAGCCGGCAGATAAATTGATAACGGGATAATCGAGTCAAGCCGAAAGTAAAGTGTATAAATCATTGTGAATTATAGCGTGTGTTTAAGTTAAAGTGACTGTGGAAATTCTATGTATTGCAAAGTTGTACTGAGGAAGAATAAACTAGTTTTATTTAAGAAAGGACTTGTATCGCTGAAGTTCCTCAGGAAGAATTTTTACGGGGAAATTATCAAACGACCAGAGAAGTAACAAATTGGTGTCAGAAGTGGGATTGAAAAAAAGAAAAAGAAGATGGCAACGAACAGCAAAAGAAACAAGAAGAACAAGAAAAGAAACAAGAATAATGTGAAAAGAAACAAGAGGAGAGACAACAGCAGTGGCAAGAAAACTGGCAACAGTGGCAACTCGAACAACAAAGTAAATAAGAGAGATTACAACAGCTGTTGGAGGAAAAAGAAAAGAAACAAGAAGAATGAGAACATAAACAAGAAGAGAGACTACAGCAGTAGCAACTGGAACAAGAAAGGAAACAAGAAGTACAAATGGAAAACTTTAGTCTTGCTAGAGTTTCTTCTTTCTGGTTAGGAACAGCATACACTTCTGGCCAGTTGGTGAAATACTTCATTATAACCCTGTTGTATTTATTACCACTGTTACTCTGTAACAGAAAATCAAGCATGTCAACAGCAACTCTCTGAAATAGAGCTCCAACACAATAGTTCTGTGGCTGCCAATGCTGTTTCTTTTTTGGTTGGTTTTCTAAACCAAATGGTCAAAGAACTAACCAGAAGGAATACCATTTTAAGCTTGTTGCTAACCATTGATGGGATACCATTTTAATCTCATTGCTAACCATTTATGAGGATACCATTTTAAACACGTTGCTAACCATTGATGAGGATATGGTTAAGGGATACCATTTTAAACTCACTGCTAACCATTGATGAGGATATGGTTAAGGGATACCATTTTAAACTCATTGCTAACCATTGATGAGGATATGGTTAAGGGATACCATTTTAAACTCATTGCTAACCATTGATGAGGATATGGTTAAGGGATACCATTTTAAAATCATTTCTAACCATTGATGGGATACCATTTTAAACTCATTGCTAACCATTGATGAGGATATGGTTAAGGGATACCATTTTAAAGTCATTTCTAACCATTGATGGGATACCATTTTAAACTCATTGCTAACCATTGATGAGAATATAGTTACAAAAGTTGAAGTCAGGGAACCTTTGGGGAAAAATGTTCATAATTACGTTTGATGTTTTATCATATGTATAGGGAAAAAAAATTTTATTTTTGTTACTAACTTTCAGAAAGCCCACTTGGAGGACATAAGATTTATCACTAATGAATTGGGATAGTACCTTAAAAGTAGATGTGGAACAGATTTTCTAAAATAAACTGCTTTTAACTCTCTCACCATGGGCTCAGTGTGCTTGTTATAGTTTTCAAACTAGAACTTTTAATACACAAAATTTTGCAGATTACCAGGAAACATTACAAGGCTTTAGTACACAAATTATCAGATTTTTTTTATTAAGTATTAAGATTTTTAAGTGATGATTTCCTCATGCATTTTTTCTGTTTTAAATATTGACTATCCAACATACAAAGTATTTTGATTTTAAGATTACAAATACTTTTATGCATCAGAAAACTGTCAAATTTTACTTGCGAAATCATTATAACCTCCAGTTAATTATCAATTTTTCTTTAGAAAAAACTTTATATTTTATCTGTTATTTTCAGTATTGTATCTCTGTATGGGTTTGGTCAATTTGAATGATCTCATAACCAACATGAAAATATAAGGAGATAGATATAAATCACTTTTTTTGTGCTAGAATGACTACAAATTATAAAAAAAAAAACACAAATGTTTAGTCTAAATAGCTTAAATCTCATAACATTATACATCTATATATGTATATTTTTTTTTTATTTCATTGATCTTTCAGCCATGTCTGACTAACATTACAGAAGTTGTAATGACATGGTGCATGTGGAGTCATGTTACCGTATCCAACTGTTACGGCTCTGTGTTCGTTTGTTAATTTTCCGTAAAAATTATTTCCAAAGAAACTTTAGCAATACAAGTCCTTTCTTAAATAAAACTAGTTTATTCTTTCTCAATACAACTTTGAAATTCACTTAATTTCCACAGTCACGCTATAACTTAAACAAATGCTATAATCCACAATGAACGATTCACGCGCTTGACTCAATTGTCTGTCTCTATCTCTGTCTGCAATTGAATTCCATTCCATTGTTGCCGTCAGTTCTTGGCGGTCTTATATACAAAAATACTGCACATCTAGTAAACACTTGAGGCTTCACGAAGGGACATGAATTTTCTAGAAGCTCATGACGTGTTACTAGCGTCACATGACTTCCACTGTCGTAACACAACAGTATAACTGGCCTTTACAAAGTGACCTGTCTTCAGTTTGTTCTAGTGAACCACTATTTTATAAAATAGTCACATTTTGGATATAATACATTACATTTGCATATATATATTATTACTATTTACAAATAAGTTCTAAGCTTTCAGTTTTTCTCTTAAAACATAGAACAGTAAATAAAGAACTATAGAAAACAATGATCTCTTCTACTTACAAACTTTGTACTCATTTGCCAGCTTACCATAATTTGTTAAGCCTTGTCAAATTTTGCAGTTGTGGAGGATGTAAAACAAAATAATTATTAGGTTTTATATATTCATTTTGAAATAACCAAATATTATAAATTACTCTATCAGTAATGCAAAATTTCACTTTTAATTTATCAGGATTACTAACTAAACTGTATTTGAGTAAAAAAAATATTCTTTTTCGGACAACATTTTCACTTACCACATCCTTCAGCGATTCAATAATTATCTAGGGATATTCCCACCTTTTAGAGGATGAGAAACCACCAGGTGGACATTCTGAGCTTTCCATTGATTATTCACAGGTCATAGACAGAAGTAGGTGTATGTAAGCATTTCCAAAAATGGAAAGAGGTGGGTAGGGCCACTAAATGTAGCAATATCTCAGGAAATGGAAAAGATAGGAGGTTTTTATTTTATATTCTAGCTTGTCTATATCGGTAATTTGCATTTCTAATTCATAAGGAAGTATAGACCTTGTATTTGGACATCACAAACATATAATTTGAACCAAAGCTGCATTCAACATACCATGTGATACACAAAAATCAATATTTGGGAATTTTTTCGAAATATATAATTTTAAATTAATAATTTAACTAATGGGTAATATTAAAAGTTGAATTATAATCTACAATTTGATACCAAAATTTTTGACATACATTCATAAAATAGCAGTTTAATAAAATTTTGAATGTAACTCAGCAAACATGATCACATGCCCCTTGACCATAGGAGGACCCATAGCAAGAGGGATAATTAATGTAAAATGAACTGTTCACCACAGCCACTGAAGTTCACTCTCATGTTTCTGTGCATGATATGTACATTCCCATGTTTGTCAGTGTATGAAGAGTTCACTCCCATGTCTGTGCATGATATGTACATTCCCATGTTTGTCATTGCATGAAGAATTCACTCCCATGTCTGTGCATATGTACATTCCCATGTTTGTCAGTGCATGCAGAATTCATTCCCATGTCTGTGCATGATATGTACATTCCCATGTTTGTCATTGCATGAAGAATTCACTCCCATGTCTGTGCATGATATGTACATTCCCATGTTTGTCAGTGCATAAAGAGTTCACTCCCATGTTGGTGTATGATATGTACATTCCCATGTTTGTCAATGCATGAAGAGTTCACTACTGTAATGCACACTAGCCTTAAAACCAGTGGCTCAGAAAACATGTTCAGTTAAAGGAAAATATTTCCATAGCATTAAAATGCAAGTTCCATATTTATTAGTTTTAGACAAGATTAATTTAAAGTTTTTTTTGTACGAGAAATAACGCAAATCCATTTTACTCATTTCAGCAAAATCTACTGTTGGAGAAGAAATAACAGAAATAGTGAACTTCATACCAGTGAAGAAACAGGTATGTCAAATTATTCATTCCATTAACCCCCTGGTTACGGGTTCAGTCAAAGTGACCAAGTTTATAACCACGAAGTAATCATCATGGTTTCCATACTGTAACTTTTAAAATGGTATGGGTATCTTCACAAAATTTGAAAAGTTTTTAGTAAACATTATAAGGATTTTGTGCACAAAAAATCAATTTTGTAATTAAGAATTTTTGCTAAAAATTTATTCTTAAATATATGGAGTCAGTTGACTGCTTCAAGTGCATGTGAGTTTTGTATTAAGATTAAAACTACTTTTCTTCATCTAAAAGCTGTCAAATTTCATTTGCATTATCTCTAAAACTCCTATATGAATACCAAACAAACCCTTTTTTTCAGTAAAAATTTATATTTTTATCTGTTATTTTCTCTATCCTAACCATATACTCATTCTGTCAATTTGACTGACTCCATAACCACTGTAAAAAAAAAAAAATCGAAATAAATCTAAATTAGCAGTTTTTTCTTTCTAGAATGACTGGAAATTGTGAATGAAACTAAGTTGTTAAAGTTTGTAACAGTATACATCTATTTATACTTATTTTTATTGCCCTTTTAATCTTGTCTAACAAAAGTTGTAAATCACTCTGTGGATGTGTAACTCACATTACCGTATCAAATAACATAACACAAGCACGCCTTGTGAGGAATTTTTATTTTGTTTTTCTGTTATCTTACTTAACCTAATCTTATCTTACTAAGAAGTTTCTAATTTTTAAATTTTAGTTACTTTGATGACAATAAGTAAAGAATACATGTGAAAAACAAGAAATATATTATTTATCCAGGTCTTCTTCTTATTTGTTGTCAACTGTCAACGAAATCTAAGCCTACTTTTTTTGTACTAATGGTACTATCACAATAAATAATTTTTTATTTATTAAATAATGCACTTAAAACACAGAATAATAACATGCAAAAACAAACTATGTCGTATAACTATCATAATTTTTCTTGCTTTCTAACTAGGCAGTAAGAACCCTTAGAAATTCAGCTAAGCTTGTTGATTTGATTTCCATGAGAAAGAAGTTTAGAACTGGAGCTGCTATTGACACTTCTTTGTACAGAAAACAATGTAATATAATATGTCATTTGATAGATTAAGACTTTGGCTTTTTACCAGTTACAAATAATATATGTAAGTCATCAGAGAAACCTATTGGCAACTTGAGAAGAGGGAAGACCTAGAGAACAAATGTCAAGTTCTCATACTAGTGGAGATTGAGGATTTTTTAAAATACATACTTAGAAAAGAAAGAACTTAATACTTAGCTAGTATTATAATTTGATTTATTAATTACATTTTTATGCCACATTTATTCATATACATTGATAATAATTTAGTTTGATTAAACTTTGAATTTAACTAAAGGGTTAAGTAACAGCATGTATTGTAATTTATACATTTATGCAAATAAGCAGCATTTGAGAATTTAAAACAGATCGTTAAGTTATAGATCATCACATGATGTGGTTCAGTTTAACTTTTTTAAATAATGACACTACTCTGCACAACAAACAGTTATTACCTCACACACTACCATGAAGATTATAATAACAAACAGTTATTACCTGGTACACTACCATGAAGATTATCATAACAAACAGTTATTACCTCACACACTACCATGAAGATTATAATAACAAACAGTTATTACCTCACACACTACCATGAAGATTATCATAACAAACAGTTATTACCTCACACACTACCATGAAGATT